TCGTCAGCTAAACTCGCCACTCTCTTGTCGTTTTGATTCCTAGATACCCAAAAGGCAAGGAGATCAAAATTCACAAAATGAACGTCAACTTCCTTAGATCTCGCCTCCTGCCGGCGGTGCAGGCTGCGCTGCCCAAGCAGCAAGTCAGAAACGTCACAACTCGCTCGGTGCAATGGGAGCTCAACACGGGCGCAAAGATCCCCGCCATTGGCTTCGGAACGTTCCAAGACGCCGATGCGCAGGAGGAAGCCGTGAAGACGGCGCTGAAAGTTGGATTCCGTCACATTGATACCGCGAGAGTGTAAGCATTCTCGTCCATCCTAGCTAAATCACCAACCAAGCAAAGCTGAAGCTAAGTTTCGATGTCTATCAGTTACGACACTGAGATTCAAGTCGGCAAGGGCATCAAAGCCAGCGGCGTCCCGCGCGAGGACATCTTCCTGGGCACCAAGCTGTGGTGCAACTCGCACCACCCAGACGACGTTGAGGCCGCCCTCGACGCTTCCCTCAAGGACCTTGATACCCCCTACGTTGACCTGTTCCTGATGCACTACCCTTGCACGTTCCAGCGGGGCGAGGACCGCTTCCCCAAGGGCGCGGACGGCAAGATGATTATGGGCAAGACGACGTTCGTCGATACCTGGAAGGCGATGGAGGCGCTGCTCAAGACGGGCAAGACAAAGGCCATTGGCGTCAGCAACTTTAGCAAGGACGAGGTGCAGACGCTTATTGACAAGGGATCAGTGGTACGTTTTCCTCAGTCTCGAGAGAAGAAGCAGAGGATGGAATAAGGGCATATGAGCGTGGGCTAACTACAACGAAACCCAGGTTCCCGCCGTCCACCAGATGGAACTTCACCCGTACCTCCAACAAAAGTCCTTCGTCGATTGGCAACGTGCAAACGGCATCCACATGACGCACTTCTCGCCCCTCGGCAACCAAAACTCGTTCTACCGCGAGGTCTCGTGGTCCAAGGAGGCCTCGCACATGGCCCGCGTCATCGACCACCCGATGCTCGCCGAGATCGCAAAGAAGCACGGCAAGACGCCCGTGCAGGTCGCCCTCGCGTGGGGCGTCAACAGTGGCCGGTCCGTGATCCCCAAGAGCGTCATCGAGTGGCAGATCAAGGAGAACCTCGAGTCGGATTTCCTGCTGGACGGGGAGGATATGGATAAGATTGCAAAGATGGATCTGAAGGCGAGGTTTAATGTGCCGTCTGAGGAGTATAGGTGGCAGCTGTACAAGGGCCTTGACGGCGTTCAGTACTGATTGGATACTCTTTCTTTGGAACATGCGTATTATTTAGTCCATAGTGGGTAAATAGAGACTGGATCAGGAAGAGGGCCAATTCGTAAATTCAAAACAGCCAGGATCTCTGTACACAGCTGATTAAGACCCTTTATTCGAGAGTAAGCACTAAATTCGGGCTGACATTTCCTGAAGATGGAGGCTTCGTGTTCATTGGAAAACGACGCCCCCTTGGTTTTACCGAATCAATTGTCTGTGGGTTTTAATCATGTTTATACTCTGTCCCTACAGCGGAAGCGATTCAATGTGCGGAAAGGGGAAGACCTGCGGGAAAGTCAAAAATTCTTATTACTAGAGAGGATTTGTTGTTCGTTATTCGTTTAGTGCTAGATACATAAGCATGTAGGAAAGCTCATCGCTTGTGAATATACCTGTACGTAGTTACCCTTCAGTAGTGTATACTAGCATATGAGGGTGTGTTATGTTTTCATGACAGTACTAGCTGTTCACTGCTCACGGTGTAGTATAATTTGAAGCCAGAGATTAGATGCATTGTGGTAGCCCTTCCACGAGTTATGGCGCACTACATCGATGCCGGCCATTCATTCATCTTCAGGTTCCATCGAGAACGAGTCGTGATTTGTGTAATTCTCCGTGTAAGCGTGGTTCAACCATACGGCGGGTATATTGTATTTGGAGTCTTCACGTTGGTAGTACAGTCTACAGAAATCAACCCTCAAAGCAGGAGTCATCACGTCACATCACATCACATCACAACTCACGCCTCCGTCGCCCGCAGCAAATAGCGCAAAACCCCCTGCACAGCACCAACAACAATCCTCGGCCTCTTCCACCACAGGAACACGGCCCCAACAACAAGCGGACTGCATACCAGCGCCTCGAACGTCTTCATCAGCACCTGACCCTGGTGGTCGCTCTTGGCCACGACCTCAGAGTATCGCTCGTTGCCGAAGCTGACGCGCGAGTACTTTGTCTGCCACCCCAGTCCCGGCGCATACACCGACATCTTCTCCTCGAGCCACTTGCGCAGGCGGTAGCGCGGCGAGAGCACCGACGCGCGCATCTCGACGTAGTTTTGCAGCGCCAGGTCGTTGATGGAGTGCGCGTCGGGAACGCGGTTCGCCGTGTACTCGGCCAGTGCCGCGCCGCGGTGGTAGGCGACGGCCGCATAGTCGTCGGCGGCGGAATCATCTGCTTGGCTTCCTGTCGGGTCATTGGCTTGGGCTTCCGCCAGCCGGCGGTGCTTGTCGAGGATGGAGAAGAGGATACGGACGTCTTCTAGGCCCGCGTTCATGCCCTGGCCGTAGAAGGGGACCATGGCGTGCGCGGCGTCGCCGACGAGGACGGCAGAGGCGTCGTAGTGGTGGGGGCTGCACTTGATGCTGATCAAGGGCAGGTGGGGGTTCCGCCTGAAGGATTCGATAAGGTCTTCGGCTGGGATCAGCTCTGTTACTCCCGGGAAGTGCTTGTCGAAGAAGGCTGGTAGACTTGACGGGTCTTGTTCAAGAGCCTCTGTTTGGTTGTTGGGGAGGAATAGTGTGCAGGTAAAGGAGCCGTCCTGACATCTTGTTAGCCAGCTGTACAAGAGCAGGTTCGAGGGATGCTCACATCACTGGGTATGGCGATGAACATGAACTCCTTGCCAGGCCAGATATGCAGGTGATTTGGTGAGATTCTGAATTGCGGCTTGCTGTCTGGCGAGGAAGTTTTGGCAGGCTTGATCTGGAACTCACACCAGAGGGTATCGATGTACTCCTGCTTGTAGTTCATCTGAGCAAACTTCATCAGGTGATATCTGACGGCGGAGTGCGCGCCATCGGCGCCAATCATGAAGTCAAAGTCAATCTCAATCTCTTTGGCGCGGCCGGTAGCCGACCCGGACGTCATGTCCTCGAACCAAGCCTTGCACTTCTTGAAGTCTGCGCCAGTGAGCTTGTGGCTGAAGAAGAACTTGACGTTAGGCATCTCTTCGAGGATGTCGAGCATGCGCTTATTCAAGCCGGCGCGGTCCACGGCATAGATGGCCTTGCATATGATGATCAGCATAACGTTGATAAGAGGGCATCTGGGGCGATGCCGTGCTCAGTCAACTCACTCTACCGTGGACATCGTAGTCCTGCGAAGCCTCGTACAGGTCACCTTTCGGGGTCCGGCCGTGGATCATGCGTCCCCGCATGGGAATGGTGGCGCCAAAGACATGTTCCAGTAACTTTGGTTGGCCAGCATTGCGCATGGCATTGATACCGCGCTCGGAAAGTGCCAAGTTAATGGAACGGGTGAAGTTTAAGAGAGTTGTTGTGGGATCTCTGAGGTCTACATGGTCGTCACTGTTAGTCTATGTTCAGGCTCATATAAGCTAGTAGCAGGTGTTTGTGTTGTTATGTTTTTTGCTGGCGATTGATAACGGCGTCAATCCATAAAGTTGTCGAGAGAAGCAAACAAACACTACGTTATCTGCATTGCATCCACCGACTGGGCATAACATCATGGCAAACAAGACTATTGAATGCAGCGATTGGTGGGGCAGACGAGGGGCAGGATCCATGATCTTCAACGGCGCGCTGAGCCGGGCGGGAACAAGAGACTTTGCCAAACGGAAAAAGAAAAGCGACAAGCAAACTTACCGGCTCTCAACTCGTAGATCTCAACCTCGTACCCGCGCTGTGCTGCATAGAGCGCAGCCAAAGAGCCGACGGGGCCGGCGCCGACCACAACGACCTTTTGGTTCTTGGCCATGTTTGTTTGTATGAGAAGTTTACTGGCTTATTTGTGTCTTTTATCGCCAGCTTTAAGACATGTGAGAGGGAACTTGAAGAATAGTTCACATGCAACAGTGGCGTGAGAAAGAGAATTGAGAGAACTCAGAGGACTCGCATGATGATTCGATCCCTGGGCGGGTCAAGCCGGCCGGATGAGAGGATTGAAGGGGAACAGGCGTCAACGACTTTTTTTCCTTTACTAAACCTAGGTTCTCTCTGTTTCCAACCCCCCCGAGGCCTTGAGCATAGAGCGCAGAGCGGCGCAAGTCGGATTCGGTCGCTGCTCGGTGGACTTCGGCTCACGGGTATTCCCCGGAAGCTCCGACAAGGGAAGCTCCGATCAGAAACTTTTTCTTTATTCCAGGTTTCTTGCCAGTCGTTTACCTTACCTAATGCACCTTAAGTCAAGGTACTCCGTAAGGTAGCACTAAATCCCAGGACCCTGGCAGTGGCGTATCTGAATGGGAGAGGCTTACAAACTCAATCCCTTCAATGTCTTATCGTTATCGATAAAAACACTGAAAGTTGAGGTCCTTTATCGATAGTTGCTGTTATCAGTTCCCGAGATTGAACCGCAACTGAGAAAAAAGAACTTACACCTGCCCTGTGCAGATTGCAGAGCAGTGTGGTGGCTGCGGGGAGCCGCGCCCAAGCGCCTATCACACAGCGTGGGCACTGGGACGGCGGGCTTGGAAATATTTCTTTCGTCAGGTCACTTTTTTGAGTGTTCGTAGCCGAATCGTCAAATTTAGGGCGTGTGTTTGAGAAACTGCGCCGCCGCCTCGTCTGTCCGAACCCTGCTCCAATTCCAGGGTCCTCACTCTTTCACTCCTCCACTCGTCGATCATCGTCGAGCAATCTTTAGCTTCTTTTTTTTTTTCTTTTTTTTTCCGAGTTACTAGTGAATACTTTCCATACTCGACCTTACCTTGTCGCATATCTACTTGTTGTGCCCCTCCACGATCGCCCACCATGACTGAGCCTCCCGCGAAGAAGATGTGCCTCGGCGTCGACTGCCCCAACGAGGCTGGCACCCTCCAGTGCCCGACCTGCTTGAAGCTCGGAATCAAGGATAGCTTCTTCTGCTCGCAGGACTGCTTCAAGAAGAACTGGGTATGTCGTCTTCACGCGGCTGCTTCATGTTAGACATCGTCCCCGCTGACCTCCAATCACAGGGCAACCACAAGTCCATGCACAAGTCTGAACAGAGTATACTTCACCATGTCCTCCCGCCAAAGGTCGTCTCTAAACCAGATCCAGAGACAGGTGTATTCAACCCCTTCCCGACGTACCCCTTCACCGGACCCCTCCGACCCGTCTACCCTCTGTCCGAACGCCGTACCGTCCCCAAGCACATCCCCCACCCCGACTGGTGGAAGGATGGTATCCCCAAGTACCCGAGAAGCATCCTGAATAGGAACAAGGTCGACATCCTCGATGCCAAGGGAATTGCCGGCATGCGCAAGGTCTGCCGCTTGGCGCGTGAGGTTCTCGACATTGCCGCCGCCGCCGTCAAGCCCGGCATCACAACGGACTACATTGACGAGATTGTCCACAAGGCCTGCATAGAGCGCAACGTAGGTTTTCACTCCAGACGCAGTTTTTGCGCGCGAATGGACATGCGCCGGAACCAGGGGGAGCAAAAGAGCTAACAAGATTCAAACCGCAGGCCTACCCCTCGCCACTGAACTACAACCACTTCCCCAAGTCCGTATGCACATCCCTCAACGAGGTCATCTGCCACGGCATCCCCGACCAGCGCGTGCTCCTCGACGGCGATATCCTCAACATCGACGTCACCCTCTTCTTCGAGGGCTACCACGGCGACCTCAACGAGACGTACTACGTCGGCGACCGCGCCAAGGCCGACCCGGACGCGGTCCGCGTCGTGGAAGCCTCCCGCGACTGCCTCGACGCCGCCATCGCTGCCGTCAAGCCCGGCACGCTCATCCGCGAGTTTGGCAACATTATCGAAAAGATTGCAAAGGAGAGGAACTGCAGCGTCATCCGCACGTACTGCGGCCACGGCATCAACTCGCTATTCCACTGCCCGCCCAACGTCCCTCACTACGCCAAGAACAAGACGGTGGGCGAGTGCAAGCCTGGCATGACGTTCACTATCGAGCCCATGATTGCGCTGGGCAAGTACCGCGATGTCACCTGGCCCGACAACTGGACGAGCACGACGATTGACGGGAAGAAGACTGCGCAGTTTGGTGAGTGATGTTTCGTTTTGCATATGGTACCCCACGATGCTGTGGAAGGCCATTGAGAAGAAAAACGGCAGCTAACGGGAATGAACAGAGCACACTCTTCTGGTGACCGAAGACGGAGTCGAAGTCCTCACAGCTAGAACGGCCACGTCGCCTGGCGGCAAGGTGCCGATGCCTGGAACGAACGGCGAAGAGAAGGAGACCACCGCATAATTGACAATATCAGCATGGGACACGGGGCATAAGCGAGCACGGTGTAGAGTGCGAGAGGCGTTGAGTGAGAATTGATGAGGGCGGGATACGTGGCGAGCGGGCGCTGGGATGAAAACATGATATATGAGCAGGCATTGCTCTGGCATCCTCGGTGTTTGAGGGGATGATGCCATGAAAACAAAAGCAACCGGCGCGACGGGGTCAAGGGGCGTCGAATATCAAAAACAATCAAAAGTTGACCATGCTTGGAGTACGCCACGTGAGTGTGTGAGTGTGCCACAACCGTCTGCCACAACAAGAGGCGCATGGCCGGTCCGAGAGTACCCTGTCCCATGCGACTGGAGACGACAGCTGTCATGGGCAGAGGGATGTGCCGGGGTTATCCTGAATCGCCGTCATGGTGAGGTCTACTTCTCAACCCCGCGATGATTAAAGGCTCAGCATCGGTTCTGTTCAAGGTACACTAAATGCCCTGCCCGAGCCAGCAAGTCGCGGAAATCTCGCATTGTTTCTTGCAGAGGGAGGCATTCACGTGATTCGTATGCTTGGATCATGGTATTGCCCTTGACCGAGAGAGAGGCGAGATGGAGGGGAATTGAGGTTGAACCTGGCTCTTCCCAGCCACCCGGTGGAGATAATGCGATGGCTTTCCACCCCGCCGCCGCTTTCGCACTTTGCCTGCCGGACAAGCCTCACCAAACAGTGCATGAGGGGTTGCGCAGGTAGGTAGTTGAAAAACTGACGGTGGGTAAGATGGCAGGACAGGATCTGGAATTTTATCATAGCTCAGAGCTCTCCTCAGTACTCCGTACCTTGTGGAGAGATGGAATTTGCGTGTTGGGCGCGATAAAGAATCTTGCTGTCCCGGCTTGGAGATGTCAATGGAAGCGGTACGTACCCTTGCTGACGCAGCTGGCACTGTGACTCTGTGAGGTACCTAGACCTCAGAGGCTCAGATGGATGGAAAGTGGAGTGGCGCTAAGCCCGTCAGGGTTTTCCGGGGCCTATCTGAGCTCTTACAAGTTACCCCCAGCACTGAACAGCAGTGGGCTGGGCTGGCGGGGAGGGTCCAGTCTCCAGTGGCCCGCGGCGCTGTTGGACACCTGAACAAAGATAATCAGCGTCTTTCATCATCCACCAGAAACCAAAGGAAGAGAGAGAGGTTTCCCAAGCCCCGTAACCCACCCTCCCGATTTTCCACGACTCGACTAGTGGCTCCCTGTCGCTCGCTACGCAACCCAACGCTACCCCGACGGGCCAAACCAAAGAACCATCGAACCAACGGAACTCTCTTCACCACTTCACCTCGCTTTTCCAACTTTGTCTCTCTCAACCCACGTGCTGAACTTCCTCCACCTCTTTTTAACCGCACAACTCTCATCTCATAGCTGCCTGCACCAACAGACACGTCTGCTTGCCACCTAGACGCAGCCAAACCCTGCCATCCATCTATCAACCTACAGATACCGTCGCCGCATACGCAGACACAGAGACAGAGCTCCATCTGCACCCATCCATCCATCCTACATCACCCCAGTGACGTCGAAGCATTCCACCTGCCCGCACGCATACGAGCTCCAAGTAGCCTTGCGAGCCCAAACTAAGGTCAACGTCGCCAACTCCCACGAACAGCAACAGCACTCGAACAGCTGCTTGTCGCAATTCTCCCTATCCTCCCTTTCCATCTAAACATATCCAACTAGCGCAGCTCGCTGCCAACTTTCCGTCAAGATGTCCGGCGAAGCGTGGTTATACCTCTTCGCGGTGCTGATAAACGCCGTGAACCTCTTCCTTCAAGTCTTCTTCACTATCATGTACAGCGATCTGGAATGGTACGTTGTCCCCCGTCTTATCCTCTCACCTCCTGTTGGACTTGCCACTCGCCTTGCTGCTGCTGCTGCTGCTGCTGCTGCTCTGGCTGCACACTGCACGACTGCACGGCGCACGCCAGCTTGTTTCTCCTGTGCTCGGACGAGCTCGAGGCTAGGCCGTGCTGCATGCTGCGGAGCGGGCGGACGCGATAAACCTGCCATCCCATGATCTCATGCAATTGGAAGCTAACATGGCAACTTCTACAGCGACTATATCAACCCCATTGACCTCTGCAACCGTCTCAACACCTACATCATCCCCGAAGCTGCCGTCCATGGATTCCTGACCTTTATGTTCCTGATCAACGGATACTGGGTACCTTTGATCCTGAACCTGCCGCTCGTAGCCTACAACGTCAAGAAGTACGTTGCCCTCCTGGACTCGCCTGTTGGTGGCAGAATTCGAGAAAGCTGACTTCCCCCTAGGATCGTCGACAACACCCACTTGTTGGATGCTACCGAGATCTTCCGCAAGCTGAACGTCCACAAGAAGGTAAGAGCCGCAACCCACCTCGGCTTCAGCCAGTCGTGTCTAACACCTTCGTGCAGGAATCATTCGTGAAGCTCGGCTTCCACCTGATCATGTTCTTCTTCTACCTCTACAGCATGATTGTCGCCCTCATCCGCGACGAGTCCTCTTAAACGGTGAACCCTGCCCTGCGCATAATACACAGGACGGATTCCAGTATATAGATACCATGCCACGTGGACAAGGAAGAACCAAACGTACACGCCGATGCGCTGCCATCCTCTAAAACGATGCACCATTCGGAGCTACTTTCCAAGAGGGAGGGAGAGGTTTCGGGCGGGCAACCGCTAGACATGGAGGGGAGTTCATGATACCAACAATGCGGGGTGTCAAGAGGAGAAAGGACAGCTGAAAGATATGTTGTCCCGGAGTTACGGGCAGAGATTGGTGTCTCTGTTTCGATTCTGATGATGATGAATGGGCAAGAGAAAAACGGAATACGACACAAACACACACGGTGGAGGGTGGAACGAGGGAACGAAACGGGCGGGAGACGGGTTACGATGCGAAAGACCAAATACCTAGCTGTTTACTTTATGTTGCTACCAGGCCGGCTGGTCCTGGGAGCGGCGGGTTGCGATAATTGAGTAATGACAGATCTTCTGAATGTCACTCGATCATTTATGTCTTTGCACCTTGTTGACTTGCTGCTCCAAACTAAACTTTTCATCCAACGCGGCAGTTGTTACTTCCAGAGACCATCGAGCGTGAGTGTGCAGTGTGGTACCAAAAGCCATCCAAGCTTTCCGTGTGCTTGTTTGCGCCTTGGACCCGAGCTTCGAGGTCAGAAACCGCAGATCCCAAGGGTAGCTCCCCAAATTCAAATCCTGACATCAGATCACGTGACACCAACTTTTTGCTGCCGCGACCAGGAACACCAGCAACCAGTTGCGACCAAACATTGCGATTCTACGACACCAGCAAACCCCACTCACTCATTGCCAAATCTCTCGCGACGTACGAGACGACAGCCCCCAAGATGTCGGGCTTCGGAGACTACCCGCCAAACATGGCGCCCCAGGACGCGCTCATCGTGCGGCAAGAAGCTGAGCCCGATCACGCAGTCGTCCCCTACACCGGCGAAGACCTCGCCCGACCGCGCGTCGGCCCCGCGAACCCCTTTAAAGACGAATCGGCCATGACACTGAAGCGCAAGAACGTGCTCACGGGAAGAGCAGAGGAGACGTACATTTCAGAACACACTTTCCGCAGCAAACACCGCGCCGTCGAGCGCAAAGGCGGGCCTGAACGAGAGTACCAGACGGGCGCGGCTGTCAAGGAGGAGAACGCGCGGATACGGTCCGGCCGCGAGGGCAAAGGCGACGCGACGATTGTAGAGGGCGACGGGGCGTACCTGGGCCCCTGGGCACGGTACCGCCGCGAAGAGTACGAGGTCGTCGGTGAGGGCGAGGCGCTGGCCAGCGACGAGGAGTACGAGGAGGTCACGGACGACGGCGAAGATGACGTGGTGGAGAGCGGGACGGTGCTGCGCGCACCCGAGGCGGCGCTGGCGCGGAGGAAGGAGGTGGAGGCCATGGGCGAGGAGACAACGACGTTCCATGGCGCCGAGGAGACGGATTACCAGGGCCGGACGTACATGCACGTTCCGCAGGACCTCGATGTTGACCTGCGCAAGGAGGCGGGCAGCGTGACGAATTACATCCCCAAGAAGCAGATCCACGCGTGGAAGGACCATACCAAGGCTGTCACCGCGCTGCGCTTCTTCCCCGGGTCCGGGCATTTGTTGCTGTCTGCCTCGGCGGACAGCACGGTCAAGATTTGGGACGTGTACCACGAGCGGTCGCTGCTGCGGACGTTTTCGGGCCACTCAAAAGCGGTGTCAGACGCGACGTTCAACAACGACGGCACGCGGTTCTTGTCGGCGAGCTTTGATCGGCAGATTAAGCTGTGGGACACGGAGACGGGCACGTGTCTGAGCCGTTTCTCGACGGGCAAGACGCCGCATGTGGTGCGGTTTAACCCGTCGGCGGAGCACGCTCACGAATTTGTGGCGGGCATGTCGGACAAGAAGATTGTGCAGTGGGATACGCGCGCCGGCAACGAGATTGTGCAAGAATATGGTGAGTCCCCCCTTTTTTTCCCCGCGCTTTCCAACACTGATCCAGAGTTTGATGTACTAACAATTACAAGACCACCATCTCGCCGCCATCAACACAATCACTTTCGTCGACGAAGGCCGCCGCTTCATGACGACATCAGACGACAAGTCCCTCCGCGCCTGGGATTACAACATCCCCGTCCCCATCAAGTACATCGCCGAGCCCTACATGTACCCGATGACGCGCGCGGCGCCGCACCCGAGCGGAAAATACGTCGCCTTCCAGTCGTCGGACAATCAGATTGTCGTCTACGGCGCCAACGACAAGTTCCGGCAGAACCGCAAGAAGTCGTACCGGGGCCACAACAACGCCGGCACGGCCATCGACGTCAGTGTCAGTCCCGACGGTCAGTTCTTGGCGAGCGGTGATACGCAGGGGTTCGTGTGCTTCTGGGACTGGAAGACGTGTAAGATGTATCATAAGCTCAAGGCGGGCGATCAGGCTGTTACATGTGTAGCATGGCATCCGCAGGAGACGAGCAAGTTTGTTTCGGCGGGGGCAGAGGGGGACATTCGGTATTGGGATTAGGTTGCGGGGTTCTTCTTCTTCTGTTGATGAAGATGCAGCTCGTGTTCTTGTATTGTATGGTAGGCATTGCTTGGCGTTGGGAGGGGGTCAAAATGATATCGCCCGTTACTTGTCTCATCACTCACAGAAGCCATCATGATGAATTTGATACGTCTCCCGTGGTCTTTCACTACTTCGATATATTAAACGATCTCAATTCCAAAGGAGAAGAAGGTTCGTATGACGGGCAGAGTGTTCGCTCCTTCCCTGCTTCCTTCCTAGTCCTACCTTACTTAAGGGGTCCAATCACCTTTCCTGTCACCAGCACAGCAGCGCCCGTCTAGGTCGGCGAGGTCAGGTCAAGCTGTGTACGAGGTGGTCGAATTAGTTAAAATAAAAAATAAATACTCCCATGAAGTCAGAGTCCGGGTTGACCGAGGGGCGCGCTGTTCGAGTCTGGGCAGGGGCGTGAGTTCTATGGTATGTTGTCCCCTCCCCTTTCCTTTTTTTACTCTTTGATTTTACAGGGGATAATGTGTTCTCCCCTTTAAATGTGAGGTGACTTGAATACATTGTATATGGTTAAGGACCTGAGGTCGACCATTTGATGTCTTGGTGATGAATTGCACAGCGCTGCTTCGTACCGTCCATCTTTTACCGATACCTCGGCCATCTCAGTATACGGAAGCCGTGATGAATATACACCGGCGACGATCCGCAATTTACCTACTATGCCTTAATCACATGTCTTGCCCACTCACGGGGAAAAGTCCGTCCAAGTTCCAATTCCCTACTCTTACCTTATCTTAGTGCGCGCAAGTTCGACGGCCCAGCGACTAGGTAGTTAGAACCTCGTCTGCACGCGCGAAGCACGCTTCTTACCAAGAAAATTTCCCCGCTAATTCAGGGGAGAGAGAGAGGCACGGAAGTTTTTGGGGGATGACCGGAATCGGACTACCTTATATGTGTGTCAGACGCGGCCGGCCGCGTTCCGATGCGGCCTTGTTACCCCAACGTTTATGTACCGTATGCGTGTCTCACTGCTTTGGGATGATATCGTAACATCGTACAGTGACGGAGGGGGTGAAGAGAATTCCAGACATCACATGGTCTTTTTTGCTTTAACCTCTGTTATGGGATGATATTGGTTTTCGATCAATTCAATCCAGAGGGGTTTTTTTACATCTTGTTGCTTGGAGTTGACCTGGTATTTCACCATTGGGAATCAATCCCATCACGATTTCACGAAATCATCAGAGGCCATAGCGGGAGAAGATGGATTCGGTCTGTTGGGATATCCTCCCCGACACAGAGGACGCCGAGCACACGGACACCGACGAGGAAGAGGAAGTGTACGAGGATGTCAACGCCTGCTCGCCAGACATCAAGGTCCCCTGCGAGAAGTGCAGACGCAAAAGACGCTCGTCATGTAAACGCTGCATAGACCGCCAGCGTCAGCTCCAGGAACCCTCGCAACCCCGAACTCGTCAAACGAGGAATACATCGCTCGAAGTCGCATGCTTTCCAGATCGCTCCTCATCCTTGTACCCATCATCATCTTCTTCTTCCAATTCATCACATTCCCCTCACCCTTCACCACCGCCAAACTTCTCTACCACAGCGCAGGACGCAATCCCAGGAGTCATCCTGCAACAACCTCCGGACGACTACTCCTCACCAGACACAACCACGCAGAAGAACACGCTTACCGTCCCGGGAGGAGGCCCAAGTTTCGCGGCGGTATACACCAACTCCCCGTCGTGGATGTCGACGTATACCTCGTCCACGTGCGCGACGACGTACACCACCACCCACGAACGTTTTCGCAGAGATGGACTCGGCAGTGGGCAGAAGGACGCCGGGGAAGGATGGTTGAATGTCAGGAGACGGCGGAGGCCGCCTTATCCCAGACGTCCGCGGACTGTGGGGCGATGGGATGGGGAGGCGAGGTCGTCGATGACTGCGGTGACATCGCCGAGGATGAGATCTAGGTGGGGCGAGGAGACGGTTGAGGGGTGGGACGAGGGTGAGATGGAGAGCGGGAGTTATTGTGTTGTCGAGGGGGCAAGGTGGGAGGAGCAGAGGTTCATCACGTCTAGGAGGGCGGCGCACGGGATGGGGATGGGGATGGGAAAGAGTGGTGTAAGGAGGCGGGGGAGGGGAGACTGGAGGGGTGTTGTTGGGTATGGTGCCAAGAGGAGAGCGAGGTCGAATCCGTTGGTTGAGCCGCCGAAGCCAAGGATCGTTTTCGATTTGCTGACGATGAGGATGGGGATAACTACGACGGGGTCGAGTGAGCGAGGGGGAAGGGGGTTATGGGGGTTGCCGTATGTGGAAGGGAGAGGGCATTCCCGGGTCGTGTTTGCGATGGCTTACGTGCGAGGAACGGCGCATGTCAAGGGCCTTTGGGGGTTGTTGAGTGACAGATGCGAAGACACTGGGGGGTTCTTGGGATCTAGTGCTGATGGAGGGGTTTGGAGCGTTGTGTTGAGATATATTGGGGATATGCTTGGTTTCTCTAAGCGTGAAGGGCAAGATGATGTGGATTAGAATGGTCATCTGGAAGCGTCTTTGGCTTAGCATCATCGATACATTCATCACAAAGGTTGCTAGTCACCAATGTTTGACGACTCGTGTATTTTGTCTCGAAATTTTAAAAAGTTATGATGCCTCCTTCCTTCCAACCTGAAGTCTCAGATATCCATAAGGCCAAGACGCTCAGTTACCATTGAGAATGATGGCGGCCTTGCTGATATCCCAATGTCCTCAATCCCCGCCGTCTAACTCAATATGTTCTGGGGAACTCGACAACAAGAAGAGTGGCACGAACTGATATAATATACTCTAAACCCCGACACAGACGCCCTAAGCGGGAGCAGCCTCCGTCTTCTGACTGCGAAGGCCAGTTCGGGTCCCTGGCACCGCCGGCTTGACGGGCTTGGCAGTCCTCTTCTTCGGAGCTTTGACAGGCTTCTTCTCCTCGTCCGGCTTAGCCTCTGTCTCCTTGCTTTCCTCCGTCTCGGTCTTTTCAACGTTCTCTTTCTGGGCCTCCTCTACTTTGCTCTTCTGGCCCTTGGGCTTGGTAGTCGTCTTTTTGGATGTGGAAGCAGTCTTTTTGGGCTTGATGTCGGACTTCTTGGTCGTTCTGGCCTTCTTGATGGGCCTCTTGCCAGACTCATCGTCTTGGTTCTTCTCTCCCTCATCTTTGCCGTCCTCTTCGACCTCATCTTCTGCCTTGCGCTTCCGGTCCTTGGGCGCTGTTTCTATCTCCTTGGGAAGGGGGGCAAGGTTCATGGGCTGGTAGCCGCAATTCGGGATCATGCTAGCCGTGTTGGCCGGCCTCTTGTTAGAAGGTCGAGTGTCCTCATTGTCCGAGTTCTTCTTTCGCGTATCTTTGCCGCCGCCCTCTTCGGACTCCTTCTCCGCCTTGCACTTCTGTGACTGCGGCGGGGTGGTAGTCTTCTTGGGTGCGGTCTTGGTTGCGTTGGCGGATTTGTTCTTCGCCGGCTGCTTTGTGGCCTTGCTCGCTGTCTTGTTCTTTTTTTGCCTCTTCGCGCTTCTGACCTCGGCGTCCTTTTCGTCAGACTCCAGGTCCGCAGACTTTCTCTTAGAACCTGTCGAAGGGGACAGGGTCGGGGGAGAGACAGTGTCCACGGAGCAGAAAGAGCGACCGCCCAAGGTTGGCTTGATAGCCTTGACCGCATCGCTCATCTCGATGCTGGGGAGAGGAGCCGCCGAGCCCGTCCGCGATGTGCGCGAGCTGCGGCTGCTTCGGGGGCCCCAGGCTCCCGGGATACGGCTGGGACTCGTCGGTCCACTAAAGTACGACGAGTGTCCAGGCGGAAAGAGGCCGGGCAGATTGGGAGGCTTGCCGATGACATCCTCGATGGTGATCTCGACCTCTGCGAGGCGACGCTCGTTTCTGGCACTGCGGGAGTCAGTCACCTCGTGTTTCTCCTCGAGCTGGTCCTGTTGGTCTTCGAGCTTGTCCTGGCGCTTCTTCGTCTCGATGTTGGTGTTTCGGACTTCTTCCTTTAGGTCCTTGACTTGGGCCTCGATGTTGTTTTGCCAGTGGAGGAGGTTTACCTGGGTCTTGTAGACGAGTTCCTGGCCCATGTCAAGGCGCGCTCTGAGAGCTTGGATTTGCTCGAGGCTGGAGTTGCGAGGGTGGAAGTCTACCAGGATTGGCTTTGATGATGTCTTCGTGAGAGATCTATGGGGTGAGGCCGTGAGGTATCGCTTCTTGGGTTGTTGGACTTGGGCCGGGGGCGTTCCCTTGAGTTCGAGCTTCACCTTGGTAGGAGGCGAGCTGGGCGGAGTATTCTTGGCGGGAGTCTTCTTGACCGGAGTCGTGGATTTGGATGAAGCGACGTACTCAGTCGGGGGTGTGCTTCCTTCTGAACATGGGCTTGCAGCGAACCATTTTGTTTCGGACAAGAATGAGGAGTCGATGTCGTCTTCCTCCTCTTCGTCCTCTGAAGGTGAATATTCCACGATCCCATCTCCGGTCGGATCATACTCCGTGCTTGGGCTTCGGGAAGTTTGGATCTGATACTGGCCGCAATTCTCTCCAGTTGGGCCAGCAAGGGCGGTCCTTCCTCCCGAAAACCCAGTTTCCGGGGAGGAGCTTGGCGCCATGTCGGCTTCAGGCGCGATATATGATGAATCCGCCATGATGTGGGAAGGATGAGTGTGAGTTTGAATGAGATGATTTGGAGGAGATGGAAAGTAGAGAAAAGGACGATGTGAAATCTGAGTTTGGGGTGGTTGTTGTTTAAGTGTGGGTATGTGTGTGTGTGTGTGTATGTGTGTGGGTTTGCGCGGGTGAGTGTGTGGGTGTTGAGTGAGAAAGTTACGAGAGCGCCAACAGACAGGAGACGGGACTCGACCAGACGGTTATTTGAAGAAGGCTCCTCACCACCCGGCCTGACCAGGCGTCCACTTGTTCAGGGTTTCCAAACATATTCTTCAAAGGGTCCCCGAGTTGTTTCTTCACCGCAGTCAAAGGACACAAAGGGCTATTATTATTTCACCGGCGGTAAAAGTATCAACACAAGTCGTGGGATTTCATCAAAGGCATTGTCTCCCGCCATTGTCTGATTGTTCTCAAGTCATCGAGTCTTTCTCACAATGGACGCAGCATATTTACAGTAATATCTCTTAAACCGTGAGAGAGACGATATTGACCGATCACTTTTGGCCCGCAGACAACGCGACTTCTTTTTTTAGTTCCCTCCCCATCGTGCCTTCCCTGGTGAGCTTTCAGACTCAGACCAGAATTTTTTACCAAATGCAATGCCCCGTCTCGCTTTACCAAAGACGGTTCCACCAGCATCTTGCATTTACTGGACGGACTTTAGAACCATGAGATCGATCAACGAATAAGCAATCTCCGCAGCAGCGAGAACAGTGGTCTCTCCGTTGTTATCGTACGCGGGCGCGACCTCGACTACGTCAGCACCTACAATGGAGAGTCCTTCGAGGCCATCGAGAATGGTAAGAAGCTCCCTCGTAGACCAGCCACCCGGCTCGGCAGTGCCAGTTGCTGTGAAAAGTCAGCTTCCTTCAGCTAGCCAGTTCCAAACAACTCACCAGGCGCAAAAGCAGGGTCGAGTACGTCAATATCAACACTGATGTAGACTCGGGAGTCGCCGACTCGTTCTTTGAGCTTCGAGATGACTCCCTGGGCTCCGAGCTTGTCCAAGTCGCGTGCGGTGATAATCTCGAAACCACATCGGACATCGTTGCGCAGGTCACCCTTTCGTCGTATCAATGGGGCTCTGATCCCCGCATGGATCGATGTATTCAAGATCAGATGCTGGGCCGTTTAGTTTCTCATCAGGGGAGTGGAATCAGAGGGTCCGACCAGACATACCTCTTCGTGGGCAATATGAAGGAAGGTTCCATGGTTGAGACCCCTGACATAGGTCAGAATGCGGCTATCAGTATAGGTGTATATTCTCACTTACGCATAGTCGGAGATCCCGCCACCTGAAGCGCGAAAAGACATTCCGTGTTAGCTCGGAGAGCATCGGCAATTCACTGTGAATGACTTACCCAAGACTAATGGATCCCAAGTGTCTTGCTAGATGGTAAGCTAGGTACGAAAATCTCCTGACGAAAGTTACTGACCGATGTGACTATCAAAGTGGATGACTGAGACAGGGCCCCATCTCTGGTAGGTCGACCGTAAAGCAGACAGGGTCGTTGTGTGGTCTCCTCCAAGCGTGAGTATTCTGGGCGTGGCTGACACCGAGGAGTTCGCTGCCGGTCTGCCCGAAATAACCTATCACTTCTTCATCAGCTCATGGTCCAAGAATACTCAGCGGAACATCACTCAACGGCGTGGGCTTTGTCCAGAAGCTTCAGAGAAGCCGTATTGTCTAGCCAAGTAAGACGAGCATCGCCGCAATCTACAACTGTCGCCCAGTCTTGCAGTGGGTTTCTTCCTAGTGGTCGGCTCATGTCAGATGAGGACATCTTTCACTTAAAAGCCTATGCAGAAGAGTTACCCGTATACACGCTCCATTCCCCCGGCGACTTTCTTTGACTACCGCTTCGAATGGCAGGCGGACCAAAGCGAGCTCCCGGTCGGCCAGTGGTAGTCTGCCCTAATGGTCAGACGATTTCTTTGAGAATTATAGAGAATCGAATGGCAGTTACCGTGTCGTGTGACGCACCGAAGACCGCAATATCATACTTATGGCCCTCCGCGCGCTCGTCAGAGAAGCAGTCTACAAAGGGCAGGTTGGCAAACGTTCTTAGACCGGCAAATGATGTAGCGCCGTAGATGTTCAAGTCATCATCGTTATCTATGCCCAATGGTACTTGATGGCTATGAGGTGACTGGAGGTTGTCAAATGCCGGATGGGGGACCTTCCAAGCAGCCCCACCATTGATGTGGAGGAGCAGGAAGGAAACACGAAAAAGTGATGAAGTATGCATCGTTGTCTTAGAAATGTGGCTCCGTTAAACAATTGACTTGACAATCGACTAGACAATGGTGTGAAATAATCATTCTTGTCTCCTCAAAGGAAAAAGTAGAGTACTTCCTGCCTTTCTTCAAAAGGCGAGTATTTCCTGCCTCTCTTCAAAAGGTAGGTCGACGTCATCATCTTATTGGCCCCTTCCCCCCTGTGCCTTATCGCGACCCCTCATTGAAGCTCCCTCAACATCAGCCACATGTTCGTGTAAGTGGAGGTGTGGCTTGAACCCCGAGATGCCATTCTTCCCTTTATGAAAGTCGAGTCCAAGAGAAGGCGCAACTCGAATGATGAAATGGAACGCTCCTGCTCAGGAACATCACTCGGTTGAGGTAGGCAGGTACCTGACCTTGCGCAGAGACCATGGACAGGAGCCCGGGGGGCCCGGCGCAAGATGCTGCAACTCGAACGCTCCCTCTAACATTATCCATTCATCTTACCGCGCCCTCGACCATCAACCTTGGCATCGGGCATCAGTCAATCTCGTTGCATTTCATCCTTCCTCTATTGATAGGTCATATCTGACCAAATCCCTTTTATAAGCCTGTTTTTGAGTATATTTAGAATTAAACACACCTTTGTCCTTCTCCATGTCGAACGACATACCCTCCTCTCGATCCTCAGCTACTAGTTCCCGCTCATGTAAGACCCTTCAAAGACGAGTCAAGTTCCAGCAGATCGAACACGATGGCGCGGTCGACGATGACGATAACACGGAAGAAGGACCCCCGCGGCCCCTTCCCAAGAGCGACTACAAGTCTATATACAAATGGTGGAATGACGAATACCGCCTGGTTGCAGTCTGCGTCATCGGAGCCATCGTCCTCGGCATCATCTTCAAGAATTACGACCAGCAGCCGATTCCCCAACTGATGAATGGCGACCTCGACTTCGATGTCATCATTGTAGCTATGTTCACTTGCGTTCGCGTCGCCATGAGCGGAATTGTCGAGACCTCTATAAGTCAATCTGCCTGGATTTGGGTATCTGAAGCCCGGCAACGTCGCACCAATGACAGTCGAGCCAGGTTGGAAGACTTCAAGATATACGACGAGGCTTCGCGCGGGCTTTGGGGCAGCTTGTATCTCTTGTGGCGACTGAGAGGAAGGTAGCGCAATGATGCCCCTATTCTCTTTTGCCCGGAATATCATGCTGATTGATAGCGTCCCAGACATCTTGCTTGCATTGGCGCCTTGATCGTTATTCTTGTCCATGGATTGGAGGCATCCTCCCAGCAGCTCTACCGGTACGAGGGCCAGCCACGACTAAGCCTCGATAAACCCGAAGTCGCAGCGCCCGAGAGAAGCGATTTGTAGGACTACACTGTCTCCCGGGGCCTTGACCCGCGTAAGTGGTGATGCGTCGCTTGACACATGTATCACTCACTAACACGTAGCAGTACCGGCTCTCAACGTATCCACCAAAGCCGCCGTATACAGCGGTATTCTATCCGTGGATGTCAAGAACCTTGATCTCGAATGCTCTGGGGTGAACTGCACGTGGCCCATCGTGCCAACGCTGGCAGTATGCGGCGAGTGCAACCCCCTAGACATAAGGACTATGTGTACCGACAAATCGCAGACGTGCCGGTACAGTTTGCCCAGAGGCACATCAGTGGAAATCAGCCGAAATGCACCAACCACCGAGCGATTCAAGACGGCAGCTTCGGAGGGCATCATCCACCGAATGAACTCCACGACGCAAACATACATATCCGTCTTCGATGTCCTATGGGTCATGAAAAACAAGCGAGGGACGAAAAGTATTGCCCAGGAATGCGCCTTGTGGTTCTGCATGAAGAGCTTTAACTTTACGATCACCGAAAGCCAGCTTAAGCAAAAGCTCACTATGAGCTGGAACACAACGCGGTTTGAACTGGGCAACAGCGCGCACGGCGATGAGTACGTCTTTGTTGATATTCCGGCAAAAGACATGAATGTTGCGCCAGAGTCCAGGTACAGTATTTCCAAAAAAGCGCTGGCTGCCTTGCGGAGGTTCGTTGACCCGCTTGTCGAAACCACGTACGAGAAACAATACACCATTATCAACTTTTCGTCAGATTGGGCCGAAGGGATCTACAACGCGAGAGAAAAACTACCGGAATGGATTAACCGATTTAGCATCAGTCTGACGAATGAGGTGCGACTCCACGGCGAGATTCGGGACAAGGACCGACATCGATATACCGGACGAGCGTATGAGATGGTGCAGGTCATTATGGTAGACTGGCTGTGGATGCTGTTCCCAACAGGCCTCATCATAATCAGTATCTACTACCTCTTGCATACCATCATCAGAGGCGCTCGCGACGGCATATCGGTGTGGAAAAGCGATTCGTTGCCAATGCTCTTCTGTCGGATCGATGCCTCGATTCTCGCAAAGGTCGGCGATGGCATGGATGTGCCCAACGGACTGGATGTAGCTGTCGGTAATGTCAATGTGTGCTTATTGAGGGAAGATGATGGCGACTAGGTGTTCAAGCCAATCGAGAGCGAGGGGTCGTCTTCTTCGTCTTCGTCGTCGTCCGAATCTGATTCTGACTGAGAAGCATCGTCGCTGTTCTAGTCAGAAGTCAGAACTGGCGGTGGTACGCATTGATACGATACACCATTTCATCCTAAAAGCTCCGTCAATGAACAAGGGCAATTGACGTAAAAGAGTGTCAGTCTGCGAGGTGTGTGTCTCTCTTTAATTCCGCGTTCTGTGGTCCCTGACATGGCTGTGCGGAAGACCTCCGAAAGCTCGGGGCTCACCGTTCATGATGACGCTAATGACTCGACCCCAGCCGTCAGTCGGGGAATAGGTTCGTCATGTTTGATTGGTCTGCATCGCCGAGCTCTTGTGGAGTTCTGTGTTAAGTGACCGTAAGTCGCCGCGGCGACTCGGCAGAGGTGGTCGGCAAAGGAGTTTCGTGAAATTGACTGACTCTCATTTGCCATGTCAAATTCAACCCTCCACTTTGCAGTTTCGCAGTCCTCGGCCCCAAGTTCTAGCCCCATGTCCAATGTAAAGCACTACCCGTTCGGCATGCAGTTCGCTGAGAGGGTGAGCGGATTACAGATCATTAGTGTTTGTGCCAAGTCGGCGGAAGAGACGAGTCAGAGTATGAGAATGAGAGAGGGAGGGAGAGAGAAAGGACCAATTCCGATCATTCCGATACATGCCCGGCCCCAGGCTTGGATGATAGCTTCCCCTGGTCACAGCTCCGGCCCTGTAGGTTGCCAACTCAGGCTCGACCTCCGTGTCTTCGTGTCCACCACCATGCCGTCCCCAGACATCTAGCGTCAAAGGATCGTCGACGGCTCCAGACCCCAGAATATCGACTCCAGAGTTGCCATGCAAGCCTTTCCCCTCTTCCCCACACCCCGCAAAGTGTTCCCGTCTTCCGTCTTCGGTCAAGTCGCTGAGTCCAGGTCTAGGAATCTCAACATTTTCAACTCTCTTTTCGCGTCATCTGGTCCCGTACTCAGTCTCCGTAGACGAGCTTCCCCTCGCTCCAATCCCTTATCTTGCGGATCCCAGTGAACAACCCTCCTTGCGCGATCCAAAGTCTAGATAATGGCATCTGAGACCACACCTCCCGAAATCTCCAAGCCCAAGTCGCAAACCAAAGTCCGCAAGCGCGCACCAAAAGCCTGTCTATCATGTCGCGCTCGCAAAGTGAGATGCGACGTGTCTCAGCGAGGTCGCCCATGCATGAACTGCTATCTCGACAGTGAGAACTGTGTAGTTACCGGGCGCGCGTCACGTTTGTGAGTAGCTGTGTTCTTGTTCCGTCCTGTTGGTAATACTAACCCAGCGAACAGTCGAAGAGCGCAACAAAGAGATGGCGGCGACAATGCAGAAGGCGCATATCCGCAGTACGACGCAGAGGCCGGCGAGCCACTTCTTGTCGTAGATCCCATCGCAGCAACGAGTGACGACTCTCGGCCAGTTCCCTCAAACGAATCAGACGCCCAGGCCCAAACCTGCAACCATTCACACGGCGACGACATCACAATACCAACGGCCACCGATCGACCAAAGAGCCCGGTGATTAATGACAGCCATGCCCAGAATGAGCAACCAAAGCCAAGTCGTCACCACGCCAGGCCTTCGGTCGCGTCGACGAGCACGTACGAAGCTTTTCCTTCCAATTCCTTGCCGTTGAACAATCAGCCATTCACGACGCCATACACCGCTGGCCAACAGAACACAATGGGGATTGACGTTACATACTCTTTTTACCCATTCTTGGCATTGGGCAATCTTCACGGAATACCGCCACAGGATGTGAACTATTTGGAGCTCCAGGGATGTCTCCGGGTACCAACACGCGCCATACTAGACGAGTTTGTTCAGCAATACTTCCTGCATGTCCACCCATTGCTGCCAATGATCCATGAGGGCGACTTTTGGGATCTTTATTGCGTGAATCCCACCGGCTACGTGCCTGGCGAAAAGCTCTCACTGCTCGTCTTCCAGGCAATGCTGTTCGCTTGTTGTAACGTACGTTATCCATCCAATCCCACAGCTTTTCGGGGCGCAATTCTGACATCAACTAGTTTGTCTCCCGCCAGACTATTAAGACACTTGGTTTTCCGACCGTTCGAGCCTGCCGCGCCGCTTTCTACAGACGTGCCAAGCTTCTTTACGACCTCGAATCCGAATCATCTCCCCTCGCAATCTCACAGGCTTCCCTTCTCCTCTCCTTCTGGTCTTCGCCTACCTCACCGGCTTTCCGCAAATCGAATACAGCCTGGCTCTCCATCGCGATTCAAAATGCGAAAATGGTCGAAGCCCACCACTATGCCACTCGCACAGCATCTCCCAAGAAGCGCAACCTCCTCAAGCGTCTCTGGTGGTGCTGTATCATTCGCGATCGAATTGTCGGCCTAGGTCTCCGTCGTAGTCTGCAGATCACGCGGAGTCATTTCACTTTTGATGCGAATGAGAGTCTTGGCTATTCGGACTTGGCGGATGAGATTGAGAGGAGTAGAGTGTATAACCCAGGCACAAAGCGGTGCTTGGCTGAGATCTTGGAGCAACTGGTGGAGCTGTGTGTTGTGCTGACCGATATCCTCATCCTGGTTTTCCCGCTGGACGACAGGCCTGGCTGGGGCAGAGAGATGCGAGCCGAGGAACAGGACAAGGTGCGAGTGTGTAAAGTTGCGTTACAGAGATGGTATAAGGGCGTGACGATGCGGTTTCCCATGTTTGGTGGCGGTTCTGTCGCGAGGATGAAGGCACCAGGGAACGAGTTCCAACACGACTCAGTGATATTGTACACCAATTTGATGTACATGTACTATCAGTAAGTCCTTGTTTGGATTCAACCCACTGACACTTACTAACATCCGCTCAGTTCCTCTCGAGTGGTCCTCAGTCACCACGAAGTCCTTCACCTCGCCATCACCGCCGCAGCGCCATCTTTCAACGCCATCCCGACCTCCGATCTAATCATCATTGGAGAGAACCGACACGAGCTTCAGGATGCCGCTTCCGGGGTAACAGAGTGTCTCAAGGAACTAATCCATCTTCGTCTCGCACGCTGGCTGCCCATCAGTGCTGTGGCGTGTACCGCGTTGCCGTTGGTCCTGCACATCCTCGACGTGAAGCTATCTGCCTCTTCACGATCCTTCGACCCCAACACGCAATCGGCGCTTAAGCAACATCGCCTCAACATTCTCATAGAAGCCATGAAAACATACCAACCACAATACGACGGCGTTGACTGGGTCAGCGAGACGATTCGACACATTGTCAATCTAGCACAAATCGAATCGCCAGCACCGGGGGATTCCGCGAACGCAACCCCCGGCGGCGCAGTCATTGCAGATTGGACCGACATTCTCGCCTCCCAACCAAGCTCCTATCTCCGCCTAGCCCTGACGATGGATCTGTCACTTAGTAAAGGACGGCTACCCGAAGACGGGGACTTCCCAGTCAGTCTTCGCGGCCTCTTCACGGGCGGCTTCAATCCGCTCAAGGCGCTCCTCGAACGGAAGAGGAACGAGAGTAGGGACGCGAGCAGGGATACGAGCGGGGGCTTCTCCGAGCCGGCAGAGCACGCCACAGATCGTATGACGGACTTTGACGCCGCAGCGATGAGGGTGAACCTGTTCCGGATGCAGCCACCGGGGAACGTGACAGCCATCCCGTCAGACGAGGACTCCACCTCGCCGACATCTGCCGGCAGCCACAGCCAGGACAGTGTCACGGACGACACATCACCACGCACCGGGGCGGAATACCAAAGCAGCTGCGACGTCAACATGGCAGACCGCCCGCCGTCGGAAGGGATCGATGGTCTGGCGGCCGAGGTACTTGCCGCGTTTCCGCTGGATGATCAGTCTGCAAACGTAGCTGCTGGCGACTTTGACGGCATGTACTTTGACGGGATGCCGGGGCATGATGGACCCGGAGGGTGGATTGAGACGGCGTGGAACGAGCTTACGCAGCACTCTGCTGCGCCGGGATCTGGTGAGGATCGTGGGGATCGGGATACGGCGAGAGTTTTGCTTGATGCGTTGAGGGAAGGGGAGCTGGCGGAGTGTGCCGCTTAAGATTTGTATGAATTGAGGGTAAAATGATGACTTGACGAATTGATGTACACAGGGAGAGGTGAGATAATGCTCACTCTCGTCCTCTTGCGATAGACAGTTAGTGGGCTATCAGTATAATACTTGAGATTTGCTTTCTGGTAACTCGGCTCTCTTTACGATTCAGATTCAATAACGGCTACAGCTTCTGTGACTCCCATTCCTACGATACGGTTTCTATCCGTCTGAGACGACCGCTCCCCGTCATCTATCCAGCCTGACACCATGATCGTTCCCATCCGAGAACCGACAGCGCGGGATTGCCCAGGAGCCCAATTCGGAAATCGAAGTCCGAGAACGCAACGTGGGTTCTCTCCCCCGCACGATGCATCTTTTTTGCACTTGGGGTGCATGAACCCCTAGATTCTCCAAGTCCGCTGCATTCACCCTGGCGTGTCGCCTGGCCCCGGCCAAGGATTTCTTTTTAGAATTTTAAGGTTGAGCGGGGGGTAGTTATGTCGATCTTCGGTGTTCGGCGGAGAATCACGGCGAAGTGGATGTGCCAGCCACAGGAGATATTCGTGTTTCGGAATGCCGCTGTTGACCGTCACTAAGGTACCTTGAGATTTCAAATGGTGAAGCCGGTCTTCATTTTAGCATGTACTGATTGACTTCTACTGCGGTCAAAAACAAGTCTGTTTGAGAAATCGGGCTGGGGGGGGGGGGGGGGTTATGGCTATATGACGAGCGCTGGAGGTGTATCGCGTATATCGTCAACAACCCGAACGTTCAGGCTCCAGGTGGATTTCATAGAAGTGAGTCAAATAAGATACCTTGAGTGAATGTTAACCCCCTCTGGAAAGGGAAGTGCTGGTTACTACACCATGTCCCGCTCATGCAGTGACGACCCAATACCTTTCTCAACATTTGGCAGGTATCCATGTATCGTCCGCTGCCAACAACCCGCCTACTGCACGCGTAAAAGACAACCGAATCCTCCCAAGACATCCTACAAAACCTGCACCATCAAACCATCCGTCAGCCATGTCTTCCACAGGGACACCATCCCCAGCAAGCACCAAAAGCAAATCAACCAGCCTCCGCACCCTCTGGTTCGGCACCCAATCCACCGTCAAACGCATCTTGTCCTCCCACCCCAGCCTCAGCAATCACACACCCTCCTCGCTTCTCTCGAGAACAGCCTCGCGATCTGAACGCGGCAGCGTCGTCCGCTACATCATCACCTTACCCCCCACGCCCTCGCGCCCGACGAATACGACCTCAGGATGCCTGTCTCTGAGCCTTTGCCTGCGATGCCGTTGTTGTCGCATCGATGGGGAGAGCATTATCGCGATTGCGTGTCCGCCTGTAGCTGTATACCGCGGAGCGTCGGGGCGGAAGGTTGATAAAAGGGTTGTGGTTGCGGTTGTATTAACTACTGTTGGATGGGTTCCTGGTGTGATTTGTGAGGATGACAATGAACACAAACAAAACCCGAGAATTAGGGGGGTTAAGACGAACGATTTTGCTGACAATGTGGATGTAGACGCCCTTCTGAGTGCTCCTGAAAAGCCAACGTCGCCGTATTACTGGCATACGAGCGAGAGGTCCAGCTCGGCTGTAGTAAAACGTCCGAGGAGACGGAAGTCGACGATGCCATCCGAGAGGCAGGTCAAACGGGCCGTCTGAGGCGCGAAATGGGATCGTCAGTACAGGAGGGCCAGACAGTTTCACCGTCTCTATTCCTTCAAGGCGCACACGCAAGGCTACAGACAGTGAGAAGCAAAGAATAGGATATGGGAGAGAAGACGAGGCTTGTATTGTTTCAAAGTCTAGTTCTATCATAAATCGCGTTACCCCTATACACCCTGTCTTTCTTTTCTTACAAGGTCCTACAGAAGGGTTGGATTTTTTTCCTTTTACGTCGAGGCTTTTCTACAAAAAAGATTCCTGACGTGACATTAGATATACACGTTTACATACGCCCGCCCAAACAGGCGACGTACGAGCCCCCCCCCCCCCTCCGTTTCCGGTTCGCGCGATTTGATCAAGGATTCGCTGACGAGGAAGGGGGGCATCGATGTTGATACACGGGTAGCACTTGGGTGCCATGGTTTTGTCACCACATTTTCGGATGCAAAGATTCTCCCCCAAACAGAAAGGGGGCGAAGTTCTTCATCAGTGGCTTATTTGGTGCGCTTGGCCTCCAACTCCTTCTGGTAGTTGGCGCAGAGCTCCTTTCTGTAGAGGTTGTTAGTAATCTTTGATCGGAGCAATGTTAAGTGGGGGGTTAAGTCTTGGGAGTCAACGTACTGAAGATGAGGAGGAGCGGCGGCGTAGTGGCTAAACTCCATACCGAACTCGCCCTTGCCCTGGGTCGCGGCGCGGAGCTGGGAACTGAAGCCGAACATGGCATTGAGACTGCAGTCGGCAATGAGGGTGAAATCCTCGGTGCCGACCTCGGTGTCGTGAATGGTGGCGTTGCGCTTGTTCATGAGCATGATGATGTTACCCTGGAACTCGTTGGGCGCGGTAATGGTGGTCTTCATGAGGGGCTCGAGGACCTGACCGCCGGCGTCATCAAAGGCCTTGCGGAAAGCCATTTGCGTGGCGAGGTTGAAGGCGAAATCGGAGGAATCCGTGACGTGGGTGGAGCCGTCGTTGACAATCATCTTTGTGCCAATGACCTTGTGGCCGAGGAGGGGGCCCTTGAGGGCGGCCTCTTCGAAACCCTTTGAGCAGGCGGTGAGGTACTTGTCCGGGATGGTGCCGCCGACGACCTGGGTCTCGAAGAAGTTGGCCTCCGGGTCGTCGTGGGGCTCGATCCAGCCGGCGACGCGGGCGTAGTCTCCGGGGCCACCGGATTGTCTGCGGAGGAGGAAGTCGTACTCTGTCTTGCGGGAGACGGTCTCGCGGTAGGCGACGCGGGGTTTGCCGGTTTCGCAGTCGACCTTGTACTCGCGGCGGAGGCGTTCGACGTAGATTTCGAGGTGGAGCTCGCCCATGCCGGAGATGATTGTCTCCTCGGACTCCTCGTCGACGTGCAGGCGGAAGGTGGGGTCCTCGCGCTGGAAACGGTTCATGGCTTTGGAGAAGTTGTCGGCGTCGCTGGTGCGCTTGGGCTTGATGGAGAGAGACATGACGGCGTCGGGGACGAACATGGAGGACATGGTGTAAGGGAGGCCACCGTCGGTGAAGGTGTCACCCGAGGCGCAGTCGACACCGAAGACGGCGCAGATCTCGCCGGCGCCGACCTCGTTGACGTCCTCCATCTCGTTGGAGTGCATGCGGACGATGCGGGGGATGCGGACCTTCTTGTCGGTGCGGGAGTTGAAGAGGTAGGTGCCCTTGCGGAGCTTGCCCTGATAGACGCGGATGTAGGTGAGCTGGCCGTAGTTGTTCTCCTCGAGCTTGAAGGCGAGGCCGACAAAGGGGAGCGAGTTGTAGGGGACGAGCTTGACGGTGGCCTCATCGCGCTTCTTGTCGAGGGCCTTGTTCTCGACCTCGGACGGGTTGGGAAGGTAGTCGCAGACGGCGTCCAAGACGGTCTGGATGCCCTTATCGGCGAGGGCGGAACCCATCATGACGGGGGAGAACTTGAGAGCGATGGTGGAGCGGCGGATGGCGGCCTTAATCTGGGCGTTGGTGGGCGTTTGTTCCTCGAGGTAGAGCTCCGTCATTTCGTCGTCGACGTCGGCAAGCTTCTCGATGAGCTCCTGGCGCTTCTCCTCGACGAGGTCCTTGTAGCCTCCGGGGAGGACGTCGGTGGTGCGGACAACCGTGCCACGGGGGCCCTCAAAGTAATGTGCCTTTCGCTCAATCAGGTCAATGACGCCCTCGAACTCGTTCTCGGCGCCAATGGGGATCTGGATGGCGGCCGCGGGAATCTTGAGCTTGGTGTTGATCTGCTCGACGGCCTTCCAGGGGTTGGCACCCATGCGGTCCATCTTGTTCACAAAACTGATGCGGGGGACGTTGTAGCGCTTCATCTGACGGTCGACGGTGATGGTCTGGGACTGGACGCCGCTGACGGCACAGAGAATCATGACGGCACCGTCGAGGACGCGGAGCGCGCGCTCGACCTCAATGGTGAAGTCAATATGGCCGGGTGTATCGATGATGTTGATGTGGTAGGTTTCCTCTTTTCCTTCTTCCGTCTTCTTCCAGTCGGCGAAGGTAGCAGCCGACTGGATAGTAATGCCCTTTTCTCTCTCGAGATCCATAGAGTCCATCTTGGCGCCGACCGAGTCCTTGCCGCGGACCTCGTGGATGGCCTTGATACGGCCCGAGTAGAAGAGCACGCGCTCAGTGACGGTGGTCTTTCCGCTGTCAATGTGGGCGGCGATACCAATGTTGCGCACGCGCGACAGGCGCTTGGCCTCCTCGGGGCTCATCTTGGCGGCGACCAGCTCGGGGGTGAGGGTGGAGGCGTTGTCCTGGGCCATCTTGAGGGCCTCGGCGGCGGCGTCCCTGACCATCGGGGTCGTCGAGAAGGCGCGCACGGAGTTCTTCTTCCATGTCGTCGTCGTTGTCGTCGAGGACTGCTTCTTTACGCAGGCGGCGAAGCTGCTAAAGTGTCGTGCATCGGCTTGAGGCTTTACGCCTGCAAGGAGACCGCCATTCGGCACTCTGACGGCTCGTGGAGCCCTCATCGTGACCAATGTGTGTGCGGACGAGGAAGGGGAAGGGAGGCGGATGGGAATATGCAATGGGGAAAGATATCACAGGAAAAGGGAGCCGGGATCCATTCGGGACAAATGGTCTGATACGGGGCTCATCTTTTTTTTTTTTTTTTTTTTGCCTTGCCGTCTTCCAATTGCCCAGGCGAAACTTTTTTTCTTGGGGACGGGAGTGACAGGGATTCCGATTTCGCGCCGTCGCGGAGGCACGTGTTTTCGTGGAGGGGTGGGTCCACTGCCCGGCAGTGGACGAATCGCCGCATCGGGATTACCTACGCCGGCCGGTTCAACGGGTAATCACCGGAAGTGGAGGCCGGAGCATGTCCCGTTGTGTTTACCTAATGCTTATATCTGTATACTAAATCACGATATGAGTAGGTATGTAGTACACCATTGTGATGCTCTGAAGTGAATTAGGATACTGTCATGATGCCTGGAGAAGTACAGATTTTTACACGATGCAGACCTGGTTGTCAGAGCTTCAAGGTCAGGAAAAACATGGGCACAGCATTTGGTTTCAAATCGGAGCACCAGACGAGATAGACTCATGAGAGTATTCCGCCCAAAGATGAACACGAGGCTTCTTCATGCGTCAACATTCCTCTAGATTACTAAACGCCATCCTGTACCCCTGATTGCCCATCTTTTGTGAAAACGCTAGAAAACCTTCCCAAACCAACCATCCCTCTAACCAACCAAACGCCCTTCACCCACACATAATCCTCAAATCCAGTGGTCATCCAAAGCCCGGTTCTTGTCGAGGTAGTCGTACACCTGCTTGTAGTCCTTGCAGACGTGCTTCGCATCCCATCCATCGCTACCCGTAAACCCAGGCGGGAACGTCGTCTGCGTGCCTTCCAGCGCGACATCGCCAGCGCACATGATGGCCTATTCCAACTAAGATTAGTTTCCATCCACCAGACATATTTCAAAAAGAAAAAGAAAAAATAAACCATCACTACTCACCTGCCGCAAATACTCAAAACAATGCTGCAAATGCCACGGGCCCTCCGCGCCCTCCGTACCCTCGGGAATATGCGAGTGCATATCGACGTTGGCGCTGCCGTTGACGGCCATGCCCGCGTAGCTCTCGAGGATGGCGTACAGGCAGTGCAGCTGGTGCGTCATCGAGGTCGTGAAGACGGTGCGTGGGGCGAACTCGGGTAGCGGGACGGGGAGGTTGTCGTGGGCTTTCGGGTCCTTTACTTCGAGGTAGCCCAGGCCCTTGGGTACGATGGAGAGCCACTGCTCCTGGAGGGTTGCGTTTGTGAAGAGGGCTTTTGGGTCGTCGGGAACAAAGTCTGTTGTTGGATGGAAGGTTGTTATTTGCTGGGAGACTGTTGCGTCAAGTTGTTAGCTTTGACTTGGTGAGCGAAGGAAGACATCTTGGCGTACATTTGGGTGCGAATCCTGTGAGGTCACCGACGGGCTCGAGACGCTTGTCTGGTGTGCTGGATGTTTGGAGACCCCTTCGCTCGAGAAGCAGGCCGACGATGACGACCAGGAGAAAGGTATCGAGCAGCCAGCGCCAGCGTCGCAATAGGTTCCGGGTCTTTGCGCATTGACTCGCTCGTGATGATGGGGAGCGTCTGCCGTCTTCAATGTCTGCCCGCTTCCACGGCTTGCCCTCGTCGCTGAGGAGCGATACGCTGACGTCGGTCATGGCATCGTCGGTGATGTCTGCCTTACGACGGGCGTCGGAGTAGGGTGTATTGCTGGGTTTCATAGCGCCAGCTCTGTTTCTCGGGAATATGTAATCAGAAAGGGGAATTATGTGAAATATTCAGACGAGTAGATGGCAGGTAGATATGATGGACCTGATTACTCGAGGTTTGCAATGTCAAGGACTATGTATAGAATCTGTCCAGCAGAATGTCACGTCTCCGAGTACCTCTCAGCCAAAGTTGCTAACTATGGGAAGGGGGCGACTGTGCAACCTCACCCGCCGCCCTTGCATTCTGTGTTTTGAAACACCACCATCTGGGAGCCCTGGGCTGATGTCGAGCGCGGCGGCGCATGCCTCATGGAGTGGTTGCGCGGCGCGTTGGATGATTTGAAAGGAGCTCCGACACTTTGTGTATGAGGTGAGCGGAGCGCGGGAGGATGTTTGGGACTGTGGACCGTGCAGGCTGCGTCAATCATCAGTTGGGGTGGTTAGGTTGTCAGGGTCGGGGATTTTCCAAGAGATCGGAGCTTTGGTTGGTGATTGTTTGATTGCATGGCGCATTCATCATCTTTGATTATTTTGCATCTTGAAAACTTGAAGTTGTATTGAATTCGAGATTCCGGCTACGTTGGATGTCACCAAGGTTTTGACGGGTTGACCACTCTTGACCCCTTTCGGTGAGAGTTTCTGTCAACAACAGCAAACATTATTATCAGCCAAACTCAGGCTTGCATCGCACGACTAACTGCTTCAATAAGTCTTGAAAGCCAGTATCTGGAGTAAGAACTGCTTGATGAATACAGCAGGGTTGGAAGGGACCTCGAAGTTTTGGTGGCTAAAGTTCATCTTCAATATTCTGTAAGAATGCATTCAGAAACTTACGTACCGAGATTCCTCCTTAAACTGGGAGCAATTGATGGATTTCATCAAAGCAATTACAACAGAAAGGACGACGACGTGATAAAACGGCAGAGGAGCAAGAGATGCATCGTTGCATCATGCAAAAACAGCAAAATGATAACTGTGAGATTCGAACTCACGCCTCTTGCGAGACCAGAATGCTCATCCGTTAGACGGATGAAGCTTTTGAAGCTTGAGTCTGGCGCCTTAGACCGCTCGGCCAAGTTACCTGTTGATGAATCAGCGGGTCGAAAAACAAAATAAGTAGCTAGCGCCCTTGTTACGACAGCCAGTTACTTTCTGTGGTCCCGAGTCGGCGGCGCAAAAGCTAAGCCGCTAATAAGCCGCTCGCCGAAATAAGCTCTTGTTTGACTTTCGGGATCGACAAACTTTCATCCAAACCATTACCATTACGGCGTTATTCACATCACCGTCCCATCACGAAAAGCCAACTTCATTGAATAATATCTGAATATGTAAGCCGCTCATCATTAGGCCTAACACCTGACGCTGACCGCCCTTATCTCGGATCCAAAGTCCATCCATGAAGGAAATGATCCATCCTTCGGAGTGGATCACCGGCCTCGGCGATCGCGCAAGCGCCGAGATGGATCAAGAAGAAAAAAAATGTCTGGCCCCGACCCTCGAATTCGATAGCAATCGGGCCGCTATCGTCGTCGACCAAAATCATTCCACTTTCCTCTTGGTATCGACGTATCGTGGACTCGTGGAGCACAGAGCCCCCCGGTGGGATTCAAAACAGCGGAGACGGCTCCAGAGCGGGAGTTGATGTCGGCAATCTCAGTCTTTCTCTGTTGATGCGAATTGCATCTCTTGATGCTTCTTGTTGCTGTTCTGAGTTCGATATGCATCAATTCCAGACGAACATGCAACTTCTCATGTCGGTGTCAGCACCATCGTTCACCAGATACACCCGTCCAGCGACGAGTCTATACCATCTCAGAACATCAACATCATGCACCACCACCGCATATCTAGACTCCAAGAACCTTACCGGTGTCAACATGAACAGCAAAGCAACGCTTGATGAGCTGTCCCATCGCAAGCGCCCTGTCGTCAGCTAGCAGTCTAGTGTTGGCCGGGCTCATCCGTTCGGCACCACGCGCCGATTCCACCCACCACCACTTCCCGCCTGCCTGCCATCCTATCGGGACCCCAGTGGCGGCGGAGCCCTTTGATAATCCTTTTTTCTCTGCATGGAAGTCTTCTCCTTTTTTCCTGTCGGCACCCTTCCAATCTGGACCCAACACCAAGGATGGTGTACGAAAGAGTGGACCTCGGTGGTGCAATGAGCGGTCTCCATTTTCAGCCTCTTTCGAGCCAAGTTTATATCCGGTCAAGGGGTCTGGTCTGGTCTGGTCTGACTATGGTCTAGTCCACTGTCCGCCACGCCGCAGCTTTCGCATTCACTCTTTTACTCTTTTTGCCGTCACTGCTAACCGATGGAATTTTTAATCCATGCCACATGTTTTCTTACTTCTCCTTGCTGCTGCTCGGTCTATATTTGAGTTTCTCGGCTTGGAACGACCATAAGGCCATCTTCGGCGATCTCCCACCATTCATGATCGCTTGATGCAGGGCTTATATACATACTTAATGTCTAATCTATCCTCAGAGACACTCTCTTTGATATTCGTGTCGCAATAGCGCGCTGGAACTTGCAGACCAAAGATCGCCACCTAGCGTTACGACAACAAGTCGGTTCGCCAAGAAGTACTTGAGCAGCCTCTCTCATCGAACCAAGGATATCAAACAAGATATACCCGTCTGAACAGCTTCCGCCAAATCAAACATACGCAGACACAACACAGATTACGCCTGCCACAATGACCGTCCGAGACACCGACACCACGACCGAAAAGTCCGGCTTCGGCCCGGACCTTCGCTCAACAACCCCCTCCGAAACAACCCTCACACCAGCGGCCCCGGCCGACCCGGAACCCCAAGCAACCTCCGCAGCCGGCGCCGAACCCCTCACAACATCGACTCCGGGCCCCGTCCCAGACGGCGGCCTCGAAGCCTGGATCCAAGTCCTCGGCTCCTGGGTCATCCTCGCCGACACCTGGGGCCTCGTAAACACCTTTGGCGTCTACCAGACCTACTACGAACGCACCCTCCCCGGCGTCACCCCCTCCGCCATCTCCTGGATCGGATCCCTCCAGGGGGCCCTCCTCATGATGGTCGGCCCCATCTCGGGACCCTTGTATGACGCAGGCTACTTCCGCGAGCTCCTCTGGGCGGGCATCACCCTCATCATCCTCGGCATGTTCATGACCTCCCTCTGCACGACCTACTGGCAGGTCCTCCTCGCGCAGGGCGTATGCGTAGGCCTGGGCTGCGGCCTCGTCTTCCTCCCCTCCACCGCCATCCTGAGCCAATACTTCCACCGCCGCCGCGCCCTCGTCATCGGTCTCGCGGCCACGGGCTCCCCGATCGCGGGCATGTGCTTCCCCATCCTCTTCGGCCACCTCGAGCCCCGCATCGGCTTCGGCTGGGCCACGCGCATCATGGCCTTTATTCTCCTGGGATTGTCCGTCATCCCCGCCGTGAGCATGCATACACGCCTCCCGCCCTCGGGCCACAAGCGCTCCCTCGTCGACCGCACCGCGCTGCGCGACCCGGCCTTCATGCTCGTCATGGCGGGTTCGTTTGTCGGGTTCCTGGCCATGTACGTGCCGTATTTTTACATCCAGCTCTTCGCCGTCAGCCACGACATCGGCCCCGCAAACTTTTCTTCCTACTTTGTCACGTTGCTGAGCGCGGGGAGCATCCCAGGCCGCGTGATTCCGAATTACCTCGCGGATAAGGTCGGCGCATTGTACATGCAAATCTCGGTCGCCGCGGGCTCGGCCGTGCTCATGTTTGCGTGGCTCGGCATCCGCAATATGGCGGGTCTCGTCGTGTTTGCGATTTTGTATGGGTTGTTTTCCGGAGGCATGGTGAGCATTTCGCCAACGGTGATTGTGAGCTTGTCGCCTGACCTCGGCCGAGTCGGCACGCGCATGGGCATGATTAATTTCGTGGCAGGTATCGCCATCCTGATCGGTACGCCGATTGCGGGTGCCATTTTGGGTGATTATAGCGGCGTCGCGTGGCAGTCCATGATCGGGTATGGAGCGGCGGCGTTGACGGTTGGGTCGATGGTGCTTACCGCGGCAAAGATTTTTCAATTGAAGGGGGAGAGGAAGGATATGAAGGCTTGAGGGTCGTTAATGATGGGTGACGAGGTATAGACGGATAGATTTCTTGCAGTTAGACTATATACCCCTTTGCAAATAGATGAGATTTGTTGCTTCCGGTCATTAACTTCTTCTCGATACTCACCTCGTCCACCTCCACCCACCACCTACAACCGCAACGCTCCCCAACACCATTACCCACCTCACCAACCCCTTGATAATCTGCTCTCTAGCAAACTTATCAATAGCATCCCCATCATTCACCCTCGGAAACGGCACATCAGGCACCGGCCTCCTCAACGCCTCACACAACGGCCCCCACCCCTCCTTGACATCATAAAACACCAACCTCTCCTTGTTCACAACCCTCCTCACCCAAGCCTGATGCAAATCCCACACTCGTCGCGTAGGCAACACCCCATCGCCTTCTTCTTCCGGGGGAAACAACTCCCCCCACCGGCCGTTGGGAATAGCATCGATATACCGCGGAAACCACCTCATCGTAGGCAACCAAAACAGTGCAACCGACAGAAACACCTGCAGGCTCCGCTGACCCGTCTGTCGTATACTCCGCACCCACGCCTCTGGTTCGCGAACGGTGCAGATGACGAGGGCATCTGGGTGCAGCGCCGCCAGTTCCTCGGTGAAGAGCATTCCGGGGACGTCGACGACGGCGGCGTAGCCGTCGTGGAAGTGTGCGGTCAGGGTGTCGAGGACGACTTTTTCGTCGGCGGCGGTGCGGATGGGCGTGTGGGAGAGGCAGGTTATCCAGGAGCGGATTTCGGATTCCGGGCCGCGGGTGAGTTGGGTGCCGCCGTGGTGGACGGGGGCGCCGTCGCCGTCGGAGAGGAGGATTTCGAGGGCTTTGGCGAGGGAGGCGGTTCCGGTGCGGGGGAGGCCTGCGCCGATTACTTGGAGACATGTGCCGGGTTTCGGTTTGGAGGCTTCTTGGCCCATTGTTGCAGGTCTGGTGATTCACTTAATGTTTCTAGAAATCCGGTGTTGGTGTAGTGTCTTGGTAGTACGCTACTCGCTTGATGATAAAAGGTGAAGGAGAAAACAAGGGAAAGAGAAAGTCATCAGATTCACTCAAAGTCATTATGCGAAGAGGAAATAATCAGCTGGACTGACTGCGTGCAGATTTCTGTGCTGATGTCAGACCTGTCATCAACAAGCTGGTTGCCGAAAGAGGAAATATCAAGTATCGACCTTAGGTAGGCGTCAGCCCGTTGACAGTCATCATCAAACACTAGTTTGGTGTAGGAAAGCAATTTCATTGATGGCATTTCTTGGTGAATGACTTGGCGCGAGCCACAGAGCTGCGGGTAGGCCAACAAGGCTGTAAAAAGCCCGCAAGCCCGCCAGTTGCTTCAGCATCCCATGTTGGTCATTGCTCTATGCTTCAGGATGCCTGCGGAATCTTTTATTGTCAGAAGACAACGTTGACCTTCTTTGGGCATCCTTGTCGAGGAATGAGAGATGAGAGAGACATCAAGACGTGGTACCGTATCAAGAGGAAGAGTCTGTTCGATGTCTTTTCTTCATTTATTCTCCTTCTTCGACGAATGGTAGTGTCTCAATGACTGCTTCAATGACAACTAGTCTTTTGATGAAGTAGACTTTGAGTGTTCCTTCTCTTCCTAGAGCGCCCGTTTCAGCCGAGGATGGGGCATGGCTATGTAAAGGAGTGTAAACCCTTTTCGCCAGATGAACATGTAAAGAAGAGAAAAAGATATAAAAATTGGAGTAACTCGAAGGGCAAGCAGCAATGGAAAATATGTTACCCGCCGTAACGTCATGAGAAAAAACCTCGTTCTCGCACCGCCGGGGCTGATACTCCCTCATCAAGCCATGCTCCGAGAACGAGAACGACTAGCAGATCCTCAATTGCCCGATAACATCACCAAGACATGCGGATGACAAACTGCTCAGCGCCAAGTTCAAGTGCCAATCAATACTCAGAGTAACATCTTGTTCTCTTCCTAAGAAAATGATTCATGATAGAGCTCCAGCGTCGGAGGTTCGTCCTGCAGCTAAATGGAGCCTCTTTGCTACCTTAACGGGGACGAGGAACCGCGGTAGGGCGCGCACAAATAGGGATATGCAGCTGCCAGCGAGTAGTATGCAAGCAGGGGAGAGCTCCGCCCTATCAACGCAGTGGAGACGGTCTTGTTAGCCCCGTATATTGATGTGTGGTGCTGATTCAGCCTTGGATCATGGCTTGGGTGGCAGCTTAGCAACGCTTACTCTGTCCCTCTGTGGCTTCTAATTCCCGCGCGCGCGCGAAAAGATGCGCGGTGTGAATAGTGACAGCTGCCGGCTGTTGGCCGTGCTAAAGATGGAATGCACAAGTATTGTTGTACTTTTGGCCCGTGCTTTCTGCAGCTCCGATCTCTCGAATTTCGATCCTCAATCTGTCGGCTCCGTCACCCGTGGCCGTAGCCGTGGCCGTACCTGTCAGCTTCGTGGGGGACGGCGGTGGCTCATTTGTCAGGTACTACTAATCTCGTTCAGTGATGTATTCGTACCTTGACTAGGCCAGTACGTACACATTTGTACTACACATCGGCTGATGAGGTTGAGATGAGCCTAGTGTCCCTTCACCGTCTCTCTATCTACCACCTAGACGAGTACATTGCACCTTGTTGTCGCCCGTGTTGCTTGGTAGAGCATCTTAATGAGATTACAAATTTGACGAGTCGTTCTGGTTGTTCCCTTCAATCGAGGAATTTAGCGCGCGCGCGCGAGCTGGTCATCACCAAAGCCCTAGACACATATTTCTGATGGCGGCAGGCCTTGGATCTGAGGCTCCTCCGCTCTTAATCCGTGATCCGAGAATCTCTAAATCCATCTATACTCTACCTTACCAAGCTTATCTTACAGCTCTGGCCAAAGACCAGGATCTAGAAGCTCACTCCGTAGGCTAGCAAACAAGTGCCGTTCCGTCATGGCGTAACGACTTTTGGCATTCATACCTGATCGAGGGGCGTGGGAAGGGATTGCCCGTGTATTTGGTAAGGCTTATGATAGCTTGAGCTGGGGTTGTTAAGCACTTATTCAGCACCCATACACCAAACACTGTTGTCACTTTGTCTCTCTCTCCGGCCCGCCCTGACCGTTTGCGAACCGCTGGCCGTGTCCTCCCCGGCTGTCACTACCTTACGTAGGTAGTATTGGATGCTGTGCAGATGAAGCAAGGTAACTTGACAGGGCTCGGATGGGGTAACGTACGTAGGTTACTACGGATAGTTGTCTGGGTGTTCTTCGGGATAAGGTAGCTCCCATCACACCCCAACGCCAAAACAAACCATGATCTTGAAGAGCCCGTCGCATTCCATCTCGCCCGCACCCGTTTGATGCTTAATCGGCCCTTCCGTCCGTTGACCGAACCTACGATGCCGTCGTCAAACTCGCGAGCTGAACTGATTTCCAAGGTACCTACTAGCAAGCAGCGTGGGAGATAATTGAGGTAAGGTACTTGTCACAATGATACCTACGAGCAACGGAAAGGACATGACCCCTCCCCCTGCCCCTCAGTGGAGCACAGACCCGCAGAGAGGGGCAGACACCAGCGGTACGTACCTATCCTGTCTAGCTCCCCACCTTATGCAAGAGCTCCAGGTACCTTGCCCTCACCACCTCACCACCACATCTTTTACTCCACCTCTTCCAACTGCGTCCGTCGTCTTGCTGACTTCACCTTACATGAGCAGCCATGGCAGCATATCTCTCGTGTACGGATGGTCTCAATGGCTCTACTGTAGCTAATTCCCACTAGGCCTATGAGCCTGATGAAACCGCATCGCCGTGCGGCCTGCCATGCCCTCCCTCCCCAAGGGTACCCGACTGGCCCAGCCCAGCCCCATTCTGCATTCCTCCTATCTTCCGAGTCCCATCGAGTCTTTCCAGTGGCTTTGCCCAGCCTAGCGTGCCATTGATGATGCAAGACGCCCGTCTCAGTCCCCTCTCTTTCCCATCTTGCTTGTCACCTTGTCTCGAGTGCTGAGCGGGGGTTGCGCGCGCGCCATGTTCATGTTGATGTTGATATAAGACCACGACCTCCCCCTCGTGTAGTTTGGCTGTCTACATTCAGCATCTCTTTATTGAGCACCTGTTCAGTCTTCTCTTATCTCATCTCCATACAAGACATCAATCCGTCACAATGGCTCCCAAGATTGCCATCGTCTACGTAAGTCCACTCTTGCACTCTAGCACTTCTTTCCTAATCGGGTAATTTCTTGTCACTTCCCCCCTCCCCCACCTCACCTCACCTCACTTTCCCACCACACATACACGCAGTCTCAACCATTGAGTGCTCCAATGCCTCCGAGAATCCGGAAATCATCATCTCAGAGAGAATCTCAGAGAGATGCAGTGAAGATGATTACACACACACACACATTTCCCACTCCTTTCGGTTGCGCGGCTTCCTCTGCCGACGCCGTCAATGACACCATGATACGGCCGGTTCGCCCGCACGAGAGCGCCCTGAACCAACCCCGCCTCACACCTCACATCGCTTCCCCAACCCCAAACTCCCGAAGAACAGCCCCCCTGACATTATGACCGTCCGGCTAACACCACAATATTCTAGTACTCCATGTACGGCCACATCCGCCAATTGGCCGAGGCCGAGAAGAAGGGCATCGAGAAGGCCGGCGGCACCGCCGACCTCTTCCAGTACGTCTCTCCCTCTCACATACACCTATACATCATGACATACGTATATCAGGAAACTAACACACCAACAGAGTCGCAGAGACCCTCCCCGAAGAAGTCCTCACCAAAATGGGCGCCCCCCCAAAAGCAACAGACGTCCCCGTCCTAGACGACCCCGCCACCCTCGAATCCTACGACGCCTTCCTCCTCGGCATCCCAACCCGCTACGGTAACTTCCCCGCCCAGTGGAAGGCCTTCTGGGACAAGTCCGGAAAGCAGTGGTCCACGGGCGGCTACTGGGGCAAGCTCGCCGGCCTCTTCATCTCCACCGCTTCCCTCGGCGGCGGCCAAGAGTCCACCGCCATTGCTGCCATGTCGACCTTTGCCCACCACGGCATCATCTACGTCCCCTTTGGTTACGCAAAGGCCTTCCCGCTCATGGCGGATTTGTCCGAGGTTCACGGCGGCGGCCCTTGGGGCGCGGGTACCTTTGCAGGCGCTGATGGGTCCCGCCAGCCTTCGGCGAGGGAGTTGGAAATTGCTACTATCCAGGGCGAGGCGTTTTACCACACTGTTGCCAAGCACGTCGGTTGACTGCATGGCAGCGAGAGCGACGGTGCCGTTGCGAACGGGGTGAACGGGTCCGAGAAGCCGGCGGCTGCCTCCGCTGTTCCGGCCAAGGAATCGGCCCCTGCGACGGAGACCCGAAAGGCCCCTCAAGAATTGGACGACAAAGATGTCAAGGCCGGACCATGCGGTCTGCCTAGCAAATGTGTCGTGCAATGAAAGGACGGGGTTGTTTTTTGCCATTATACCGTTGAAACTATCCTATAAAAAAAAAGATAATAATGATACCTCACTTTGCTATTGATATATCTTAGGTCACTCCATGAAACAGTTGACAACCTTGACTGCCCAATTCAATGAATACATCTTGATCAATCTTTACTGTGATTGTGACGGCAGGGGAAGGAACCCTTCCAATCATTTTCACTGAAGTGAATTGATTCGATAGACAACCGGGGAGTTCCCCAGACTGACAAAATTGAGTTCGGATCAAATCCACTGCAGTCTGCCGTAGAATGCAGTACGGGGAGGGAATTTGAAAGGTCTGAGCATAAGAACTACCAACAAACTACCTTTGCAGACCACCCTTTCAATTTTACACCTTATACTCGGCAGTGTAAGGGTGTGAAGATGTCCGACTGACAAGCTGCAGCAGTACACTCTCGTGAGACCAGACGTTCGTGATAAGATTTGGCCAGACCCCTGAAAAAGCCTACACAATGTTTGCTCTGCGCTTCGCTGGTTACATCTGTAATATGGATTTTGCAGAACCATCTCCCCAGCTGCCGAGGGATTGAGTTCACAATCTCGGCGGACCAGAGTGTCTTGGCATCCCTGTCAGCAGACACTGGCAGATCGGCTGTGATACTACGAATCTTTACTTCACCTAGCTCCATTACAATTGGCGTGGTGATTGTAGGGAATCACACACTTTCACAGACATTCAAGACTCATCAAATCATTGAAACGCGATTCCCATGTTGACCGATCTACTGTAAATAACGCCAGTGACCATGCACATTTTCGCCCCGTGCAGTACGCTCCCTAACAAGCCAGGAATAACAAAGTAATGTTTACATTGCCCATTTAGTGTCTGCCACCAAAGACAACGTTCTTGCTGTCGTGGACGTTGATCATGGTGTATTCGGCAAGGAGCGGGTCCTTGTTGCCCAAGTTCAGGGTGACGGCGAGCAGGTTGGGCTCGGTCCAGGTAGGGCGGAGGCCACGGGACTCAAGACGCTCCCACCAGTCGAGGAAGCCGGAAGAAGTCATGCCGTTGAAGAAGTGAATCTCAATCATGAGTTGGCCAACGGGGAGCTCCTCGCCGGCGCGAATGGGGAAGTCCTCGCCAAAACCGTCCATGGCCTCAAACTCGGCAAACTCGATGTCCATCTTCAAGATATCACTGGTATGGTATTAGTGGATGATCGTGATCACTCCAGCGTCAGGGAAACGTACATGTACTCGTGGCCGTTCATCTTCATTAGGTCGGCAATGCTGTAGAAGGGGGGCGTCTTGGTCTTGTCCGTCTTGCCAGAGATACCGGCCTGGAGGAAGTGGGCTCGGGCACGGTTGCCGGGCTCGAGTTGCTCGCCAAAGTCGACGACGGAGAAATCGTAGGCCCAGACAACACAGTTGGTGCGGCTCAGCATCTCGTTCTCTGGGGGTGCGTCATCAGTAATCGTTCAAACAAAGAGCGAAACGGGTGTTTGCCATATTGCATGCAAGGGACTCTTACCAAAGCTGGACTCATCACGGACACCAAAGGAGTAGATGACACACTCGCGGTCTCTGGGGAAGTTGACATATCTCGACATGCCGCACACCCACTTGCCGCCGTCTCCCATACGTCCGACGCGCTCCATTTCATGAGGGCAGCTGTACGAGGCCGGAGCAAAGTCCCAGATGGAGTAGGGGTGCTTTCCGTAAGCCGCGGGGTCGGTGGCAGGGAACCTGGTTTACGACACTGGTTAGCCGTCTAATGTACGGTGGTATCGGCGTCGAACTATGATCGTGGATATGGGGAGTGCGGCGGCAGCGAAATGGAGATGGCTTACAAAGGCATCAGCGAGGCATCACCGTAGTCCTCAGCAATCATGTCGTGACGCTGCTTGACAGTCTTGGCCCAGATGGACTCGGCAGTGGCCATGAACTCGCGCATGGTGTTACGGCCGCCATCGTTGTTCATGAGGGTGCCAACCTTGTTGCTGGCCCATTCCTTGGCCTTATCAGGGCTGCCAAGGGAGTGCAGCAGAGCAAGAGTGAAAAGAAGACCGGCGGCGAGCCATAGCATCTGCACGATGCGCTTGGAGCTTGCAGCGATGGCCATGGTTGCTGTCAGAAAGTTGTATTTTGTGACTGGGGGTTTCTGGAGATTTCTAGTAATTCCGAGTGTAAGTCGATTCGCGGGGCTCGGCTGTCACTATGGCGAAAGTGGACAGAATCGACACGTAATCGATGGGAACTGATTCCGATGAAGAAACAACGATGAGCGTCACGGAAAAAGTGAATGAGAAGAACAAGAACCGCAATCAGCGCTGGTCAGCAGCCGGCGCGGGGAGAAGGGCAAGCCACGGGCGGACGGAGTGGACTCGCGCAGATCTCTCGAATAGTGCCAAGAGAGCGACTGGAAGAAGAAGAGTGAGGAGGCCAAGGAGATAAAGGGAAGGGAGACGAGTCACGCCAAGGATGGATGAAAACGTCGGGACGAGGACGAGGCGAGAGAAGGAAAAAGAGGAAGCTTGTAGACGACTACTTAAGGTTCCTTGGACTGGGCAGATGGACTTGGGACAGTCGGATCAGTCGTCGTGTGATGGTACATAGGGACCGGAACATTGTGTGAATGGAAGGGGAAGGGGTGGCGGCCAGGTTCCTCCCTCCAGTCCCCAGACCCTTGCGGATCTCGAGATTCAATCAAAGGCGGAAGGATGGCGAGACCAGGAAGTCGCCAAGGTACGAGACTGCACTTGCACTTCCTGCACTGCGTACTGCGTGACTACCACGACTGCCCTGAGTGACTTCCCATGATGTTCCAGCACGTTGAGTGTGGCATTCTCGAGGCAGGAACGGGCAGGAACGGGCAGGGAGCCAAGGTGTGTGTGTCTCTGCCTCCCTTCCTAGCGACTTGCGAGGGTGGGGTTCATACCTGGGAGAGGGAAGGAGCTACATTGTTCGCTCATTCCTTGGGTGCCATTGGAAAGAACTCTGAAATGTGGAAGAGAAACTTGGGAAGGTACCTCAGGAACAGCCTAGAAAGTATGGCAAGTGCCACAGATGTGCGCCTTCCAAGAACCCAACGTGCATCTTGCTGGCTTGTACCTTTCCTTCGCCTTGTCTCTGTGGAGGGCGCACTTCTTGCTGTGTCCGAGATAGATTTAGTACTGCACCGAAACATGTCGTGTTTGGCGTCGAGAGTGGGGATACCCAGCCAAGCCCAGAGTATCCAACTGATTGACTAGCCTCGAAATGGCCGATGCACTTGGGAAGAAAGCATCTTATTCTTGGCTGCTACTATTCGAATGGCCAAGGGCAGGTGCCGAGTGGCAGCTGCATGGATGGGAAAGTGCCGTCGTGTCGGGTGCACGTGACGCATTTCGGTCAATTGAGGGACGCCGACTGCATTTAGAGTTCAAAAGCTGGGACGAGGAAGTACGAAGGCAGCATGGAACAGTGGAGGTTGATGTGCGGGATACCGGCGAACAGGAGAAGGTGGACGATCAATTGTCATCCAATACTCCGTACAAAAGTATCGGGCTCTTTCTTTTCCCCTCGGGAAGGATTTACGGGAGTATCTCTGCCTCAAACTCCAAAGTGTCCTCTTCCGTAGTCGCAAAGCTGAACCGACGAGAAAATGCATTTTTATTCTCCTGCATTAGAATGGCATTCAGGTCCGACGGTGGCGTCCAATAAAGCCTCGCTATTGCTCGTGATACAATCATGTCAGATTGTCCAGTCCTGTCAGTCTCGTCAAAACACCTTTTACCCCTAATTCAAAGGGAAGCTAACTTTGGCTAACGACCAACAGCTGAAAAATGTCGAGACGCGCTAACTTGATAACCTTCATTCCCGCCCTCCCGCGCCGTCTGTTCCACTCCTCGCTCCCACCAACTCCTCACCATGTAGCGCTCCTATCCTGGGTATCATTGCTTTTTCGAATGTGCTTCTCCACCTTGGCCTCCTCTTCAATCAACACCAGCAATTCGCAGCCCTAGCTTCCAGCAGCCCTTTCAAGTTCGGGGTATCGACAGCAGCAATGGTGGATGGGCCTGCTCCGTACTCGAGATCCTTGCAGCCACGCGTGTCCCTTCTGCCGTCTTCACTGACTAGGTAGATAGACCCTTGGCTCGGCTCTGCTCTGCTTTCTCAATTAACGGGGAACGATATCACCAGCTGAGGTCCACTTCTGGATTGTGTCTTCATTTCCCTTTCCCTTTGCACAAACCACACAGACTTCAAACCCCTCTCTTGAAGAGATTTGTCTGCGAGCCGAAAAACGGATTGGGCTGATACGACGACCGGTAGTTGCCCATCTCTGTACTGTCGCCCATCTTCCCGTCCGAAAAGTCGCAGGGCGCCACCTTGATATCGCCGCGCATGATTTCCACCATGGACACAATGGGGAATAGCAGCACGAGAAGTGACAGCAGCTGGCCGAAGCCCCAACCTCTCTCGCCCTGATCGCTCAGCTCGTACGAAGGGCCGTTGCCAAAGGCATCAGAAGCAATGATGCATCGAACCGCGGCACCAACAGCCGACGCTGCCATGACAAGGATGCCGATGATTTTGATAATGTTGATGAACTTTTGCGTCCGCAGGTGGAGGTACCAGCTTGCCAGAGCAAAGACGAGAGCGTTGGCGATGATGACGACAACGGTGCCGACGTAGCTCAACCCTCGCTGATTTCCTTTTCCCTCGTCGCCGACCACCCACACGCAGGCGACGGGCAGCTTGGATTCCTGCATACCCTTGGATACGCCTTGCAAGATGAAGACGCCATACACGACATTCAGCGTCAGGTTGACGAACAT